AAAGGCATTTCTTGGAAGGAGGCTGGTGGGACAGTGACCTCCAGGGAAGAACAAGCACCCTGTACTCTCCACTGTCCTCTTTTCCCAGTTACTGCTCCTGAGTCAAGGACCCAAGGTACACCCAGGTGGGCAGTCCTCATCCCAACAACTCAAGTCAGCTGTACAAGATAGGCAGCTCCTTTTGCCCTAAATACAGATCCTGCTTGTGCCCTCGCCCCATGCTGTCCCATCCAGCTGCCTTCTGCTGCAGTAGGCCTGGCTGCAAGGCAGAACCTACAGATTTATATGTGTTGTTCACCACCACTGCTCCCTGGCTCCTTCCTCGCAGCCTGCTTGCAGGGAGCTGTAAGAAGAGTTTCCAGCCCACAGTCAGTTAATCACCCACAATTAGCATAAACCCAATGCAACAGCGGGGGAATAAATGAAAGCTGGGAAAGCCCCCTCTTCCCAGCAGTGGGATGAGGCAATTTACAGAGGGCCTGGAGGTGCGGGAAAGAAGAGCCTTTCATGAGGTTGCAGGTCCATGTGAAATGCTGGGCGAGGGCAGTCCAGGGCAGCACTCCCTCATCCCCAGCTGGGTTAGCTGCCCCAAAAGACACTGTGGTTTCTGTTTCTGCAGGAGCCCAGAAGGTCTCCTCCTGCCATCCCGTGCTCAGCCAGCGCCCCAGGAGCTGGCACAAGGAGCGGCACTAGTGGGAAACACGTCCCTCACAAGTGGAAGGCATTCTGCCAGTATGTTGGGGGGGATTCTAGCAGAAAGAAAGCAGGGGATTACTTTGTTCAGCTCTCTCAGGTCTGCTCCTTCCATCTGTGGGCAAAGAAGGGCCTAGAGGTGAAAAATACCTGTGAAAACAAATAGGTATTTTTTCACTGCTGGGGCTTCTGTCTGGACCTCACCTCGCTGCCCCAGGGTTGGCCAACAGAGGAAGTTTCCCTCTGTTAGCATTCAAAAGGCAGCATCTGGCTTCATGGGTGGTGTGCAAGCTTACTCATTTTCCTGATGGCCAGGTGTCAAGGGGTTTACAGCCTTGTGTGCCTCAGTGCAACAGGAATGCACCAGAAAAGGAAGAAAATAAATTTTTGCCGGCTGTCAACATGCATGTATAAATTGATGGGGAAAATGATATTGGGCACATGTGTTGTGCCAGCTCTTCCCTCTATCTGCAGGCCCATTCTCTGAGCAGATCCTGTCTCCAATTCGTCTCAGCAGGTGAACACGGAGATGAGGGAAAGGAGCATGGAAATGGTGTGGCTGAGCAGCAGGGGGGTGGTGATGGACCAGACAGCAGAAGGCATGGCAGGGAAGAGGCAGTTCCTGGGCACGTTCGTTGTGCATTTTAAACAGATTAACTTGGGCTTTAGGGAAAGGTAGAAAGACCTCCCCCTTTCCCAAAATACCAGGGCAAGAAGGAAAGGAGGGTTTGTTGACAGGGTGTAATTCTACAGCGTGAGCAGGGATAGTTTCTAAATATGAAAGAGAACCAGTTCAAACTGGTTTAACAGAAACTTTGTGCACCAAAAACCCCTAGTGAGGGCATTAGAACAGCAGCTGTGCATAGAATCATAGAATGGTTTGGGTTGGAAGGGACCCCAAGCATCATCAAGTTCCAACCCCCCTGCTGCAAGCAGGGCTACCAATGTGGTACTAGAGCAGGCTGCCCAGGGCCGCATCCAAACTGGTCTTGAACACTTCCAGGCGTCCTCAGCAGCAGCTCCAGCTGCACAGCCATATAGTCCGGCTGCAACCCCAGTGCTTCCAGGTGTCTGCCCTCATGCAAAGGTCACAAATGCTCCCCCCACCCCCTAATACAGATTTGCAGCTGCTTCCAAGACAGAGATAAAGAGTATAGGGTGAGTGCTGGAAGGTATGGCTGCCAACTTCTGACAGACCCAAGGGGAAGAAGACCCAGTGTGTGGAGGACCCACAAGAAGCTTGGAGAGCTGCAGTCATTTTTCTGCTCTCTGGAGGCTGTCCCAACTCTCTGCTGCCTCCTAGTTGGCTATGATGCTTGAAAGCTGGCTGGGGTATGGTAACATGGATCATAATGAATGGGGAGGAAGGGAACAAGATCCCACAGCTTGAGGGACTCACTGATGGTCATGGCCTCTCACACTGAAGTGTCCAGTGTCAGCAGCACAAGATGTCCCCACTGTTTGACATTTCAGTGTCCAAGGCAGCACCGGTGGGACATTAGGAAATTGCTGCTCCTCCTTGTGGACACCTCAGTGGGCTGGGAAACCACTTTGGGAACCTGCTCTGGCTGAACAACACCCAAATGAATAAAAAACCACATCAGTGCAACCGGCAGACTGTGGTGGAGGCACAGGGAGCAGAGCTAGGACCCAGGTGCAGCTGGAGAAGGAATGAATGGCTCCCACCATGCCTACATGAGAGGGACACTGTGTAAAGAAGAGTTTCTGGCTGGGGGAGTCCTGGCAGCTCAAATTCTTGGGCCAGTACAGTCAGCGCTTTGCTAGAGAACAGCTGCAAATATTTTTTTAGAATCTTGAAGCGTGTAGCATGTGGGTCAGGTGTGTCAGAGGAGAACAAAGACACAATGTACTTCATCTATGCTGAGATGTGTGGAAATTTCCCCTCTTCTTGCTAGTGTCTGGCTGACTCCACCAGAGCCCTGAGTCTCTGCAGCCCAAGTCACCTGCTAGCTGCCATCTCCTAAAGCCTCTCATGCAGGCAGGCTCTGGCAATGTGTTATACACAGTAATTAACCACTGGGCCTGGCTTTTGCCAGAAATCATGGAGAGTTGTTACAGGAACCAATGGCAAGTTTCAAAGCTCCTGATGCAGCTTCTGAAGAGGACATTTTGGAGCAGCGGTCATTGATGAACTACAGTAACTCTGCAACACCTCAGGTGGCACCTTGCTTTGGAAACAGACGTCTCCCTCTGATGCTGGTCAGCCAAGCTGCCTTGCAGAAAAGCACCTCCTAACCTTTTTACAGTCCCTGTTGCAGAACAGAGTAGATCAACTATAATTTCTCTTAAATAAATGTTATCATTGCTGGCTCTATTTCCCAGCAACTGCAAATTATTACAGTAACACACAGTTCTGTGCTTGAAGACCAATTGAGAGTGTTTCCAATTTCTCTCTCCATTTCATCAAGGAAAATAAGAATGCCTGGAAAGGTTCATAGCCCATTTCCCACACAGGCACTGCTTGAGCAAGCAATGTTTGCTTCCTAAATTCTGGAATAGCATGGCACTTCAAATCTGCATCTGATCTAATTCTAGAAGAATGTCTTCAAACAGGACAAGTGCTGCAGACACAGGCTCTGACTGACGCCACTGCCTTGCACAGACAGCCCGAGATCAGTTTGTGTACCCCCTTATTTAATGATTGCTGGGGGTTCATTTACTCATTCAAACCCCAGGAGGCTGTTACCCAAATGTGGAAGGAAAGAAAAGTGCAGAGCAATGGGGCTTTGAAGCTGCAGAGCTCTTCCTCTGTTGGGAGCCATGTTAAGAGCTTAGGGCACATGTTTATAGAGCAAGTCCTGTCATTCCCGGTGCTTCTAGTAAGGGGGAGAAATGGCCTTCAGGATTTTTTTTTTACATTCTGCAGAGCAGGAAGACAGGCCCACTCCTCTTTCCGCCTGGGCTGGGAGCTCTCTTGATAACCTGAACAAACTGACCTCAAAGCCAAAACGATTTCTTCCTCAAGCAATAAATTAGCACAGGGAGCTGAAGCAACTTATCAGAAAGTAGCACATCACCATGGCCTCTATGCAGGAGACAATATTCCCGTCAGCCAGGCAGGGCCACCCCCATGGTGCAGGGGCAGCTGCTGTGTTTACAGAGCCATTGTGCCATAAGGGAGTTGGAGACACCCAATATTTAACTGTGAGCTAATGCTTCCTGCCTCCGGTCCCACAGACACACAGGGCTCTCAGGGCCCGTTGGGATCAAGTCATCCAGAAGCTCAGGCAGTCAGTCCCAGGCCCTGGGACCCTCTGGGCAGCAGCACAGCAAAGCAGTTGCCATGGGGTGACATGGCTCTGCCCCGAAAAGATCAAGGCAACACATAGCTGCTTGTCTCTGGCTGCAGGCAGGGGGAGAGCCGGAGTTGCACGCTGTCGGGCAGAAGCATGCAGCCAGGGCTCTGCTCGCAGCGGGGTGTGCAGGCAGGGCAGGGTGACCCCACACGGTGCAACTTGGGCTTGCAGGGTTTGGGTGTGCAGCTGAGCAGTAACAGAGGCTCTGAGCTTCCCTGTGCTGTGTTGTAATGACTTCCTGATGACCCTCATGTCCTCCATCACAGCTTAAAACACAATGATGTGCCTTAAGTGAATGAGAGTGTAATAACATAGCCTTCTCTTTTAGGATATGTCAAGAGAGACAGCCTTGGCTTCCAACGTCCACCATGAGTTGCCCACTTCACACCAGGATTGGTGACTCCATCAGCAGGCCAGTGTGTCTCCAGAGTGCACACAAAGGCAATGTGGGTGCCAGCAGCTGGACAGGACAGCAGGTGTGTGTGGGGGGGGTGGTGTTGGGAGAGGGGTGACAATGATAGCAAAGCACAGAGTGCAGCTAAGAAAAGCTTCATGTGAAGGGGAGCAGTGCTGGGACACCCTGTGCTGCCTGTTCAGTGAAGTTTAATGCACATCCATCACCATTATCTTGTGCCTGAGCCATCATCAGCCCAGAGATGCAGCTCGAGCAGGTTCTGTTTGAAGTGCAGTGTCTGCTCTTGGTTTCAGACCAGAACCAGTCTGACCAGCTGGAGCCCAGTTTCAGGTTACACCCTGCCTCATCTCTCTGAATTAGTGGGCAATGATCTCACTCTCAGCACTCCCAAGGAAGGACTGCTCTCTCTGGTTAACCCTACCTGCTGCATTCACCTGTTCGTGGTGTGCCCCCCTTCCCCCAAACCGCAGGACCTGGCTGCAGCAACACCTGCAGATGAAAGGGTGGGAGATAGCAGGCATGGGAACGGCACCTTCCCCTCTGCGGGTCATTGCTTCTCAGACACCACTCCCAAGTCAGATAAGACAAACAATTCCCATTTATTGCAACTTGTATTATCAGAGAGGGTGCACAAAAAGTAAATCAAGATGGTAAGTTTATTGCATAGGCTGGAAGAAAAACAGTGATGGAAGAAATGATACAAGACAGGCCATTAAAAGCCATGGAGGAATCAAACAAGCCCTCCTGCAACAGGGAGAGGCAGCTGGATTGCCACCACGCTGTGGGCAGCCATTTCCTCCCTTCCAGCCTTGAAAGGGTCCAAGAATTTAAACTAAAATCTGTACATAAATTTGTGCTTTCTTACACACACGCGCGCACACACACAAACACATCACACACCCTGATTTCCTCTCTTTTCACAGCAGTTTTCCAGGAGCAGCAGGCAAAGGGGGTTCAGGGACTGGTACCAATCCCACGCCAGACTGAGCATACCAGGGACTACAGAAACATCAGCTTCTGTTCACAGCAGAAACCCTCAGCATCCAGAGGCACAAGCCTGATGCTGGAGATGCAGCCATGCAAAGCTGGTGGCATCCTGCTTCATCAGCCACGGGGAAAACACAGCACCTCAGTGTGGTGGAGCTGTTACATGCTGCCACAGGCCCAGGGATGAGCTCTGGGCCCCACAGGGTGGGTTCATCTTGCACCAAGAGGGACAGGCCAGCAGGAAGGACATCTGGGGACATTCGCTGGCCATGCGCCTGATGCCAGGGACTCAGGTGAGAGAGAGGCTGTGGAGAGGGTAGTAACACTGAAGCAGCAGCACAAGCTTCCTGGAGGAAGCATCAGCTACCAGCTCGGCTCACCACAGCCAGGACCACACAGATGGCATCAGTGCCTCCAGGAAACCCTCTGGTTCCTTCAAACATCCCTTCACTGTGCTTCTCCCCAGCAACCTCTCCTTCCCTTCCTCCCTCAAGCATATTTCCCACACTGCAAGCAGTGCTTTCCCCAAGGTTTCCTTGGGAGCAGAGATTTCCCATGGGCAACACTAGCTGGCACCACAGCAGCAATGGGGAGCTTGATCCTTCTGCCCTCCCTTCAGCATCAGCAGAAAAAGTTTGGGCATTCCCTTTCATTTCACGTGAGAATAAATAGGTATTTTATGAGCATGTTCAGGGTCAGACTGAACACTGGAAAAGCAATCAGGGCAACTCACAAAGTGGAGGACACATACTGTATGTAGGTGGCTGCAACATGGCAGCCAGGCAGAAAAACTCTAGGTGTGCTTTTCTGTTAAAAAGCAAAGCCTAGTGATTAAAACAGGTTATTTGTTTTTCCTTCTGTCTTGAGAACAGAAACCACTGGAAAGTGTTGCAGGGCTCAGAACAGGTCCAGCCCAGGTCTGGCCGGTTACCAGAAGCACGCAGCCCGCACAGGACTCACCACGACCAGGAGGACAGCTGGAAGGCAGGGCAACTTGGCAAAGGTTTGGGAGAAAGGGTAGAAAATCTGAAGCCAAGTGGCAGGAAGCAGCACTGCAAACAAAAAATTGCTGGCCATGGTGAGCTTGTACCATTCACCGTTATGAATGCTACACAGATTCAATCTCAGGGTCCTTCAGTAAGCAGAGCTGAGCTGTGCTCCAGATTTGAGCAAGAAGAAAGATGTCATTCAAAGTTTCACTGGATTGCTTGAGGTTAGGAAGAGATAGACCTCAGAGAGCATCAGAATGCTCCCAGGTCCTGAGTCCAGAGCAGCCGTTTAGCCACGACAATCATTTAGCCATGTCAATTTAGCCACATTACTGCCAAATCATGGCTAGATCTTGGCCTCAGGCTACCAATGTCTTCTAAGAAAGAGCCCTCCAGGCCGAGGCCCCCATCTAAAAGCAAAACTCCAGAAGTTCTTGGGAATGTCCCAGTGTGTGGCTGGGAGAGAGACTGGAGCAGGTCAGACTGGTTTGGTGGCACCGTTGTAAAACAGATGCTCGGTGTCCTCTGTAGTGGACAGGGTCGAGTTGGTAGCAGTGGTTGGCTGGCGGCGGCGGCTGCTCTTCCTTCTGCTCTTCAGGAAGAAGTAGCCTATGATGGCCAGAACCACCATGATGCAGATCCCAAGAAGCACAGCAATCACCACTTCAAAGGCACCTGCAGGGGACACATGAATGTGAACAAGTTAGGAGGTCTGCTCCACAAGCTCTGCAGCAGCACACTAAGAACAAGCACAAAAGCTGCTGGAGAAGCTGTGCTGGAAAAGAGGAGAAGGGGTGGGCTGACAGCAGGGTGGGCATTGCAAAACTAAGTGAGAAAGACAGCTACATGGAAAGGGGTCTGGTAAGAGTATTTCTGTTCTCCCAGATCACAGCTTCCATCATTTCTTGGATGCACCACGCCCTCTAAAGGCTATTTGGTGACTTTGGCAGAGTTGGCCTTTTGGCACATCTTTAAATGTCAAACTCTTCTCCAGTGCTGGATTTTCTCCATACAACAATGTAGAGGCCACAAAGTGAGGTCACAGGGAGCACTCCTGGCCAGGAGAATGCCATGGGAGTGAGGTGCGGTGGTGAATGTGTTGAGAAAGAACTTGTAGCAGTGTTGTGAGCATACAGCTCTGAGGGTTGATAGGGTAATCAGACTTCACCCCAATCTAGCATCCAACATTATTCACATACTCACTTGGGCATTCTTTTTTGCAGAATTTAGTGGTCCTTTTTGTAAATGTGGCCCTGGGGAGGAATTTTGTGTGACATTTTTTGATGTTGAACACTGCAGCATTCATGGATGTTGATGGAAAAGAAATGAGGAGCCTCTGCAATGATCTACAGAGTCACAGACAAAGCAGGAATTGGACCAAAGGTGCATGGTCCACTGAAAAATCTCTCTAGCCCCTGCTAGCGTCCTACTAATACTGCACTACTCCCTTAGTCTCAGAAGGGGCACAGGAAATAGGTAAAAAGGGTAATATTTCCAAGGAAGGGCAAAATATTTTTCAGGACAGTGAAAGCAACAAATAAACTCTGTATGAGGAACTGTTACTCACTTATCATATCACATCTCATCATATCACCGTATCAATTATCATATTGTTACTCACTCAACATATCACTGTGAGGTTCAAATGTTTCCCATCTCCGACCAATGGCATCTTTTTCTGAATTGGGAGTAAGAAGAAGAGTTTTAAGAGGAACAAGGGCTGAGACAGGTTTCAGAGGAGCGTATTTCCAGTACTGTGAAATGACTGGATGCATGCAGTGTCAGAATTCCTCCTATTTATGCTGTTGGCCTCCGCAGCAATGCCTGCAGAGCACTGCAGTGTGAAATTTTTCCCTCTTGATTGTTTAAAACTTCTCCCTAATATGGAGAATTTTCTTCATTTCTCTCCTCCCACTTGTGGAGAACTGGAGCCAAGCTAGAAAGTTATATTCTTTGGAAAGGCCACACCATGACTCTAGCTAGTTTTGTCATGCTACTCTGTACCTTTCTGAACATTAGCATCCACAGAATTTCTCCAGCTCTGACAAATGACAGGCTGTACTGCAGACATTCTGTAGACATGCGTTGTTCCCCATAAGCAGTCAATACATTGCAGAACATTGTGGGGCATGGCCAGGACTTGAGAACAGAGCTGCCTTGTCCAAAGGCTCCAAGTCACTGCCTCTTTGTCACCACAGAACTTAATCTGGATGGATTTTCCAAGTCTGATCTGTATTCCAGCCCTCACTATTCCTGCTTACTTGTGACGCCTGAACATGATTTCATGCACTCTTCCTCTTCTTCAAAGTTGTTCATGTTGCCATCACAGCCCCCGTAGGTGAAGCGGTCGCATTTCTCAGAGAAGGGATTATAGTACCAGCGAGGGATGCTGTCTGTGCACTGTCCAGTGTCAGGCAAGTCCACGCAGTGAGCTGGCAAAGCAAAGGAGAGATGCTGTAGCCCAAGCAGCATCTTACCAGAGCACCAACTTCTGCTCATGATAGAAGAGCACAAGCACTGTAGCAAAGGCAGACCTATAGCACTTGGGTGCCCACCGCCCATCTGGCAGCTGCTCAAGTTGGCAAGGCCAAGGTGAGCTGCCACTACCAATACTGGGCTGAAGGAAAAGGCAAGAGCTGGCAGACGTCAGCCAAAGTGCTCCTGACAGTGTGTACCTTGCTTATGTGTGACATTGATTTTCTGCAGTCTATTGAACTCACGAGCATCTGCAAGAGAAATATTTTATGTTAATCTTAGGGCATTCCTGCACATTTATTTGCTACAACAAGCCAGGGAAAAGGAGATATACTCTGAGGTTCTTAGATAGCTCAAAGCTATGAGAGGAACATGGGAAAACACAGTGTAGTAACTAGAAATGATTTCCAATTTGAGTTCAACTTTCTTAGATTTTTCCACCAAGAAAAAAAAGGGGAAGATGCTCTCACTCCAGGTTTTAAGAAGTATGAAAAAGTACTGGTCTGGGAAATAAGTGAGGGCAAAATAAGAAGCCTGGGAAGGTAACAAAATACCCACACATAGGGAAGAGATTACGTGAATTTTGTGAGAAGGAGAGAGGGAGATTACAGACTTTGGCAGCTCACCACTGTGCATTTACATTAGCATAATGTGAGGATGTTAAGGGGATTTTGATGCTGAACCAATTGGAAGAAGTCATGGTTTAATTTCCCACCTCCATAAACTAGGAGAGAAGGTATGATCATCCAGAAATAAAACATTGGCAGGGGAGGGGAAGGCAGGCTCTGAAGTCTTACAGGCAGGGACAGGGAAGACGGTAGAAGGAAAAATCCCAGCGGGGAGATCAGCTGTAGCAGTCAGAGATATGGGAGATGGCAGAACCTGAAAATATGGCAACAGTGAGAGCTCATGCAGGGTCAGGAGAATACAGAGCAACAAAAAGCAGAGTCAAGCATTGAGCACTGCAGTCATCCCTGTGCAGATACTAAGTTTTCTAAGCCAGAACGTGAAGAACTTACATTGTTCACAATACACCTCGTCTGATCCATCAGCACAGTCTGGAGTTTCATCACACTCCAGATAGGCATCAATGCAGCAGCCATCCTTGCATCTGAACGAGGAGGCCTGACAATTCCCATTGCATACTGTGTCAGAAACAGTTCAGATAGTTCATTAAAATTTGCTCATTTTCCCTGCCACACAGATGTGTTATGAAGGACTTAAAAAGCGGTGAAAGGGCTGGCAAAGGTCTCTCTTCTGTGCCACTCAACTCAAAAAAGAAGAAAATCATTTCTTGCTTATAAGCCAAGCAGTGCTCAGGGAACAGCCATCCTTCCTCTCAAAACAGAAGTCTGCAGAAGCTGGAGGCAAGGCATGGTAATGCCCCAGTCACCATGGGGACCCAGTGACAAAAGAACCGGACACGGCGGATGTACTCAATACCTTCTTTGGCTCAGTGTTCACTGGGAAGGAATGCCCACTGGACTCCCTTGTCCTTGGCTTAAGGGCAGAGTCTGGGGCAGTGAAGCCGCATATGGGGAAGACCACTTAGAATTTTGTGAGCAATACCAAAAATGGGGAAAGCAGGGAACTCAGTGCCATGCAGCGAGGGCTGGGCAGGCAGAAGAAGGCTTCCAGCTCTGCTCATAAAATGCAAAGGCAAATGCAAAGACAAAGCAGAGAGTTAAACATCCCACACCTGAGATAGAACAACTCCACACAAGAACAGCATCTGGACACCAAGAAGTGATAAAGGATTTGTACAGAACAGCCCTGGGAGTCAAGGTGGACATAGTGAACGTGAATCAGCAGAGAGCTCTTGTGGCAAGGATGTCCAACTGCACAGCAGGCTGGGAGAGCCAGCAGAGACAACTGGCCATCCTCCTCTGCCCCTGAGGTGATCCCAGCTGATCAGTGCTCTGCCCAAGTCTGAGCTCTCCAGTGAACAACAGACACCAGCATGCTGGAATGAAGCAGCAAAGATGCAGCAAGAGACTGGAGCACATGACCTAGTGTGAAGTTTTGAAAAAGACAGATCCTTTTTGGAGATGCACAGTAAAAGGGTGAGCAGCAACAGACAAATGATCCAATAAGGGAAACTGATTCGAATAGAAGGGAAAACAAATATGAGGGCTGCCCAGAGAGAACATAAAATCTCCTTCCTCAGGGATACCCAAAAGTGGCTTGAACAGAGCCCTAAGCATCCTGACATAACTCAAAGCTGGCCCTACTCTGAGTAGTGGGTTGCACCCCAGGCACAATTTCCAACCTGAATTATCCTATGATATGAAAGTGAAAGGCTTGGCAAAGAAATTAGTCCCCGACACCTCATTTTCCACACTGAGTGCTAATCAAAAAGCCACAGGAATGGATATGAGACACTAAGCCTGAGCTTACAGCAAGATTATATAGAGGAGCAGGAGGCTTACCTGGCATTTGTCGCCCGCTGATAGAGCCTGAAGAGACAAGGGGAAAAATAAAGTTAATTTACCACCACACTGCTTTGTCAGCATAGAATCAGCTTTATATTGCTTCATGTTTCTCCTAAGAAATGTGCCTTTTCTGGAACAAAGCCCTGTAGTGGTGAGGAGTAGAAATACAGAATTTAGGTTAAGGATGCTGGATGAAAATTTGGTGAGGGTCTGTGCAGCCAGGGACATACCAGGAACACCTGGCACTGAAGACGTTGTGCCAGAAGGAGCCAGTTTTTGCTGATGGCCTGCCCTGGTTAGTTACACCAACATGTGGCCAGTGGTGATGATTGATGCTAAAGGAAGCTAGTCTGGCATCAACTAGGGGAACAGAGAGCCAGGAGCTGGGCACTGTGGGACCCTCATCAGCCTCATCTCCTCAGCTCTCCAGACAATATCTGCTAGCCACAAAGGTGCAGTCCTTGCCCATAGGGACATCCAGATCCTATGAAAAAGAAGGGGCTGATTTTTGAAGCAGACTCACCTTTAACATTCCTGCAGGCAAGTTTACATTCCTCTTCCCGTAAATAGTTATTCTTGTTAGGTTTGCAGCCGCCAAAAATGAACTCCTGACACTGCTGAAGAGTTGGGTTATAAAACCAACGTGGAAAAGAGCCTCGACACCAACCAACCTTCTTTGGAGTCAAGCAATGCTCTATCAACAGAGTTAAAATAAGAGGGTCTGGTTAGCATGTTTTACCTTCACACAGAGAAAAGAAAATCTTCCAAAGGAAAGTCTGTCAACAGTGTGGATGTTTGTCTGAAAAAAAATTACAAAATGTGAGTGGCAAGGGGAAGGCAAATAGGGAATCACATAATGTGTTTTCTTATACGGGAGGACAGAGTACAAAATCAAATTAGGAGGTGCCATATTCATAAGAGCAAACAGCAAAGAGTTCAGCTGTGAAACTCCTTGCTTCAGGATGCTGCTGCTGTGTGAAGATTCATTCATGGATACTGAATACAAAGACACCCTATTTGCTTAAAAAGGCTGCAAATTCCTTGGTGGCTAGCCAAGCACAGCAAGGGTTTACTGACAGCATGTCATGTTCTTGCTATTATCTAGTGTTAAACTCTGGGCACTGTTGGATGCAGTGCACTAGATTTCTGACAGAGTGACTTGATATGGATGTTCTTTTAGTTTTATGGTACTTGAGGCACGAGAAGAAATTCTCTGCTTGACAGCTAGGCCAGCATTTGTCCAAGAATTCATTGCCCCAGTGCAGTTATAATGCTGAGTACTTTGATCATTAAAAAAGGCCATTATAGTAAAACATACAGGTAACCCCGGGGCCATTCTGAACATCACACAGATGACTTCACCTGTCCTGTGGCTTAAGGGAATTAGGCACAATAAAACCACGGAGTCAACAAATCCTTTTGGGTTCTTCTCTTTTGCTCTCAGATGTATCCTCAGGATCCAGCTACTCTGGGGTTATCCAGTAGAGGAGGCAATGGCATACAGAGAGGATCAGGCTATTGTAGGCCACCTCTTCTATAAGAGGATGAGAAAACCCTAAAATAGACAGCTACGAATGTAGAGACCTTTCACTGTTTGTCAGGTGCAGGCTTTTATTGTGAGAAGTTGACATGCAAGCCCACTCTGCTGCCTGTGCTCTTTTCCCATCTGCCCCGAGAGAAGGGCTGGAAAAGCTCCCCAGCTCGGGCACACAAACTAGATGTCTGTGGGCTCACCTTCAGTCTGCTCAGAATTCAGCACTATGATGGTGATGTTGGTGAAGTCTTGCTGCTGGGCAGTGTCTGTGACAGTAAGCTGGAAGACGTAAGTGCCCACCTGTAGGTTGGAGATTTCTGCCTGGTCTTCTTCAAGCTTCTGAGAATGCAAAATAAAAGAAGAAAAGGCAAGTGTAATGAGAGGATGAATGAAGCCCACGTTTCTGCTGTATTAGGAAGAAACAAGTTTGGCTGGAAACCCCCAAGCAGAATTCTGGCTTTAAAAATGTCTCAGTGCTTTGGCTTAGGGTTTTTGTTTTTGAGGTTTTTTTTTTTTTCCATAAAAGTTGCTTTGGCTGGGCTAGGGGAAACAAAAAAGGAGAGCAGCATCTCCAGATTTCCACAATCTCCTACAGCTAGGTATTACTACTCTTCAAAGTCAGCCATTGGCTGGTATACTAAGTCTCCCAGAAGGTGCCACAAGAGCTCCATACAAGCTTCAAGGCTTTCTGGAGTATTTAGCAGAAGTTTTACAGCAACTGTTTGTTCTTCTAAAACCACAGGCCCCATTGAACATCTACAAAGTAGTGTTCATGCCCTAGAGATGCTGGAGCTAGTCAGAAGCCTTGGCTTCTGCTCCAGCTCAGCTAAATTTGGAGATCCCAACAGAGAGCAGGCTGCAGGCGACACAGACCAAATTGTTTCCTTTGTTCATCTCCTTACCTTTATCTCCACAGAGGGGTCACCGAGGACCTGTTTCCATTCATACGTGACAATCCCGTGGTCATCTGTGCTGTCTGTGCCTCTCAGCATCACTGGCTCCCCTGGCTGCACCCGCATGTCCATGCCAGCACGGGCTATTGGAGGACGGTCATCTGTGGAGGAAGAGCAGAGCAAAGCGTTGATAGAGGCAGCGCTCCAGTCCTTATCCACATTATGAGAAAAGGGGACTTTTCCAGAGTAAATCAGTATGGATGCCATTCACTAAAAGGAATACACTTTAATACAGCTGTGCTTCTTGCAGCCTGTGTGAGCAACAGGTGATCAGTACCGTTACTGCTGCCCTCAGCCGTTTAATAACTCCACAACTCACTCTGGCAGTGCCTTTTGAGCCACATCTGCCCACAGAAATCCCAGGAGGCTTTCCCTGTGGCTACAGCCTCCATGCTTTCAGCAGTGGGAAGAAGGCCACGCAAACAGCACAGAGTAATCTCCACCCCACCACTAATGGAGATGACCTGATGTGGGTGGTAAAGAATGTGGAATGGACTCTCTTCATTCCTACTGCTGGCTCTACGCACTGCACTGTGCACTTAACTGGAGCTGTGCAAGGGGGGGATGGATGTGAATGGATCCCACCTCATCTTCCGCCCCACTCTCTGACACAGGAGCTTTAGAAAAAGCACACAAATGCCATTCATGCCACTGTTACTTTTTGTCCCATTCCACAAATTAACTCAGCAGCAGCCCCCACAGTCCATTAAACTCTTCTATGAACAGTGAGCGTAAGAGATGAAAACTGATCTCTGCCAGTGCCAGCAAGATCAGACTGCAGTGACACACAGTGAGCCTGACTCACTGTTCCTTTTTTGACTCATTGTTCCTCCAAGGTCTGAACACCTTCTGCTTGGCTCAGACCATAAAACCCCACCTGGTAGTTCCCATACCAGGACTCAATGGTCAGGTTCAACCTGTGCCTTTTGGAAAGGCATCAATTTTCATTTTCAATCTAGATGTGTCACTCTGCCATTCTTATACAACTGGAACTGAACAAGAGGATTACTGCCCAAAGCCTTTGGTTGGAAAACTATTCCCTCAGTTAATTACTTTCACTGTTTCAGACCTGGTCTTAATTTTCTGCTATATTTCTAGATTCACGTCCCACCTGTTGCCCCTTGCTAGAGCCTACTGAAGGGACCTGATGTATAAGGCATATATGCAAACAAAGCTGATATTAAAAACAAGCCATTTGTTAGTTCTTTCACCTATTAATTAAGCAGGATAGAAGGTTTTGCAACGTGTACTCCAGGTGAGAGTGACCACATATCCATCCAGAATTTTCTATTTTCCAGTATCTTTTGATACTTGGTGAAGACACCAAGCAAAATCAATCATCCTTTTGGGCACTGTTCCTAACTGCAGACCTGCAGCTCTCCTCCCTCATTTCAGGAGTCAGGCTGCCTTTTGCTATGTGAGACCTTAATCACCCTGCAGCTGCAGGGCTTCTGGTTAACTTTATTACACCAGCTGCTCCCTACTGAACGTCACCAGCATTATCTTTTAGTCCTCCTCATGTAGCACCAAGGGATAAGGCTTTCAGCACAGCCACCAAAACAGGCAGAGGCCAGAAAAATGGCATTTTCATCACAAGCAGAGGTGCTCACTCCAGTATCCTTTGGACTTTGGGTGAGGCATTGCTCCCTGCTGCTTCCTCTAAAAGGGCTGCCTGCCAAAGTGGTAGAAACTGGCCCCAGTGAGGCACAAGGACAGCTGGAAGACACCAAACTGTGCTGGGCCAGCCTGGCCCTCTTGGCTTTGAGCAGGGCTGGAAGAATAAATAAATGGAGTTTTGTTTTATTTTCAAGAGATCTTGCCAAGGGTCACAGGACCATTTGTAGCCAAAGGAATGACTTCAGCTGACAGTGCTCTCCAAACAAACTAGGAAACAACAGCCCCACAGCTATGTGGTACACAGCACCACGAGCTCTGGAAATGGATGCTCCTGCTGTTCTGCTGGGCCAACAGATGCCATGAGCCCAACCTTGAGAAATGCAATCTGCTCCCTGCTGCCTTCCTGCCAGGCTGAGCTCATCAGGTGGGGGCAGACACAGGGGAAGACCAGTTCTGCAGAGCCACAGATTGGTCGTTAACATACAGCAACTCCAGGTCATGCTTTTCCTTGACATTTTTAAGCACATACACTTAAAAAAAAAAGAAAAAGAAAAAAAAGAAAAAAAAAACACCAGAAAAACAAGCAAAATGCTTTACTGCAGGTTGGTTCAGTTGCTTTGAGTTATGGATTGTACAGTGAAGTAAAAGATTGGTTCTGATTACAGGGTCAGCTACCTCTCCAGATCCCATCTTTGGTGAGCAACATTCCCCAGGTGTGCTCATCCCCAGAAAGCCAGAGGGTTTGCTTGTGTGCAGGGACTGCCAAGGAGGATCTTTCCACAGAAATGAAGGACTTCATTTTCAGAGGGCTCTACTTTCTCTCCTTCGAATATGAGAAAGCTCACCAACATTGGTGTATTTTCATCACTGACTGTATGAAGCAGGTGGGCATTCCCCACCTGAGCTTTATAGACAAATGCTTACTGAGCTGGGGTCAATGCCAACAAATGCTCTGGAAAGGGAAGTTCTCCATTCAGCTCCTTTTGCTATGAAAGGCTGTCTGAAAAATGAAAGCTGCCTTTGTTCTAATGCTCTTTGGAAAGTTTCTGTTGAAGTCTGTAATTAATGGGGATATTAAAGCTTTATGATGCTGTTGCATGTCATGCTCTTTTCTGTGGGGCACCAGCTGCTGGAGTCATGTCATCAAGTGACAAATTCAGCTTCCAATCAAAATACATAGGAAAGAGATTTATCTTTCATTTTTGCTGATCCTGCAGAAAAACTCAATAGAGTAAATCCAAAATGCTCACAGCTAAAATCTTGCACATTTGAGTGTCTCATAGGTTATTCAGCTCTCAGTTTCTGTTTTTTGCTTTTCAAAAAATTTTCAGGTCACTTCAAGGCTTGTTCAGCGAATGGTTTACTTGGCTTCAGCTCTACCAGTGAGTAAACCTGAACCAAAGTTGATAGGAAACAGAAGTCTAAAGGACACTGAAATCCTATGAAGGCTGTAAAAGTAAGCACAGGGGTGGGAGGGGACCCCAGCAGGGGCCTTGCTGTCAGAAAAGGAACACGCTGGTAAAATCCTGCAGAAGGCAAAGCTCCCAGTCTGAGGATTTCTATTTTGGTGCTCACATTCCAACTACCGCCCTTGAGACATAAATTCACAGAAAACCAGATTTTCTCCATTCCAGCACTCACAGACATGATACCACGCCATGGGTACTTGAGACTAAAGTGATATCTCAGTACAGCAGAATGTGCTGAGATTGCCTCTGCTTGTTTATTGTCACTCCCACAGCCCACACTGTGCCTTGGCACGGCTCGCTGTGGCCCCCACAAACCAAAAGGCCAGACAGCAGCACTAGGAAGATTTTCCACAACTTATGCAGCTCTCAACACTCATTGACATGAAGCTTTGCAGGAGGGGAATCCAGCAGCTCGGCTGAGCCCCTCAGGCAGGAGCACAGCCAGGGCTGCAAAACTCTCCCTGCTGCCCACCTGTCTCCCATTCAGATCAGGCATTTGGAGCGTGTCACCCAGCCTTTCACAACCCCCACAAAGGGTTCGGTTCAAGAAACGGACAAAGGTTCAGGGAGGTTATTTTCCAGCATCACGCCCAGAACTGGTTCGCCCAGACCAGAATAAGCTCACGGTGGTTACCTCAACACCAGCCTCCATGATTACCAACAAAGTGCAGGTGAGCTGCCCCTCCCCAGTGAGCCAGGCAGAAAACTCGCAGCAAAGTTCAGGCTGGGGAGTGATTTAAGGGGGTAGAGCTTCTTAGTTATGGCAGCAGGAGCTTTTGCTGTTGCCAATACCTGGAGGTTTTTTTTCTGAAGCTGTAACACCTCAGCAGGACGGCAGTGGCACACGCCAAGGCTGCCCTGACCCTGTGCCGTTTCCACATGCAATGCTTCCTCTGTCTCCCTCTCCTAGCATTTACCTGCTTCCATCAGGAAACACTCCATAATTAAATCTGTCTTTCAGTAGTCCCCAGCTGTGCTTTCTTTCAAGTGTTACCTATCTCCACGTGAAAAGTTATAAGCCTCTGAATCCAGCAAGTCTATTGCAGCAGTACTGTGAGTCCTGCAACATGTGGCTGTTCTCTTTAATATCACCCACTGGGGTGCTAAGCCACATAAACACATATTTCACTATTGGCTAGAAAAGCATGCTTTTGATCCTCATTTTTGCAGAGCCCATCTGGAGATTGCCACTGAGCACACCCTCGGGGCTCTGAGGACACTAGACAGCATATAAAGAAGGGCATCATACAGTTCCCCACCACTCTTCGGCACCCAGCCCTGGAGACGATGACAGCCCAGGTCCAGAGCAGCCACAAAGCTTTGCATATTCAGAGAGGAAAAGCACAACAGTGAGCAGACATCTTTGTCTGCAGCACAAAATTAGGTCCAAGAGGAAAGCATAGGGGGAAAGTCCAGTGTGCTAAAAACATCTTCCTTACCCTCAGTTTCACCCTGCCTCTTCAGGTATCCACAACAGGTCCGAAAGGAAAACCCACATCCAACATCCTTTTTGCTGCCAGGTGGGCTCAAAGAGCACTTCTACCATGTTCTCCATTTCCACTGTGGTCCCTCTGCTCCACCATTACCACCTCACACTCAACCATGGGAGCTGGCCCTGCACAGCTGTGGGCAGCCTGGGGAGGGGGCTGCAGCCTGCTGGTCTGCAGAGGTGAAGGGACCTCGTTGCTCAACAGCGCATCATATTTTCAATCTAACCTTGTGAAACCAGGATGCACTAAGGATGATGCATTACCTTTTCCTCCTACAGAAAAACATGTGGGAGTTCACGCAGCTGCTATCATGCCACCTCTACTCCTGGAGATGTGGCTTTCAGTGCATCACTAGTTGTACCCCTGTGGAAAGGCTTTTGAGCCTGGAGCAAAGGCATGGGAATGCCTTCTGCAACAAGGAGCTGAGATTCACCAGAAAGCCCTAAAGTGCAGTGGGAAGCAACTAGGGGAAAGAGAAGACAGGAGAGCCACCTCTGCTCTGCAAAAAGTTGTTGGCCTCGCAGGCTGGCACATCCAGCAGAAGATCCAAGACTATGCAGCTCACATGATCAAGTGTCACGCACTCAGCTGCTCCTCTGGGCACCTGCACTGTGCACCAGGGGCGGGCTGGGGGGCTGAGGAAAATCTCCTGGAAGCTCTGTCCATCCCTCCACAGGCAGTAAGCTGGTTAAAGCTGCCAAAGACCAAGTCGTGCCAGAGGCTTGTTAGGCTTCCTCCAAAACAAGGGAGGAAGGAAGCAACAGGAGGAGTTGGTTTTAGTGTTTCAGAACACAGCATTTTAAGGAGATCACAGAGCACGTGGCTGGTGGCCAGGTACAGATTAGCTTGTTTTTCACCTGGATTTCTAGGCCTGGTGCAAACTTTCTGAGCAGGTAAGCAGAGGCTGAAAGAGATAAACAGACCCAGAGTGGAAGCGACATGATCAAAACCCAGCCAGCAAAACCAAGCAGCCTCAACAAGCCCCACAGAGGGGCCTCACAAGACTGGGGCTGTGGCAAAAGGAAAGGTATGCAGGTTGTGCCCTGTCTCCAGCCCCCAAGCAATTAGAAACTTAATGCAGCCCTTTAAATACAGGGATGTTTCAATTTTAGAGGATTTCACTTTCCAGCCTTACAGGGCTGGGTAGGAGGAACAAGGAGGGAGAAAGAAGAAAAACAATATATTTTTCTCTGCCTTGTCAAGAATCAAAAATACAGCCTGCACTTGGTAAACACACGCTCCACCTGTTTCAAATAGGTTACAGAATGGCTCCTGCTCTATTTACTAATAAGTAAACTGGAACAGATCGTGAATTGATGAAATGCAGCAGCACAAATAAGAAATGGTAGAAATGAGGCCCAAAGCCCTCAGTGCTTGCCTACCCCCAGCTTGCACAAATCCTTTATGTACTCCTTACCACTAGATCCATGTTTCTGTATTGCCTGGTGGTAGGTATCGTAGACGTCCCTCTTCAGGAAGTTGAGAAAGCCGACCTTCCTGGCGAACCTGCAGACGAATGTCTGCTCGTAGAGACAGTTGAGGAGAAAGCAGCCCCGGATGTGGTCTTCCTCTGAGGCCGGGTCCTGCTCCACAAGGGCCAGGTTACAAGCAGGGTCCTTACAGCAAGCCCTCATGCAGTCCCTGCTCCGATGGACCATGGGGGATGATAAGAAGGTGGCTCCATTCTGAACGGAGGCATCCGTGTCCAGCACCAAACTCGGTATCCCTGCTGTAAAGTTCTCCAGGCACATTTCTCCAAAGGGCTTTGTCTCCTGCTCTTCACCAAAGACCACCCTTGCTACCAGCACCAGGCAGACCCAGAGTCCGGTCTGTGGACCTGGTCTTCCTCTGGCCATTTCGGCAACCCAATCCTTCCCGCCTTGTGACCCTAGTCCTTTCCTAAAGGGAGAGAAAAAACAGACAAGCTAAGAGGGATGGTATCCAGGTACCTGCTAACGTGGGGTGTGCAGGGATCTGGAGCATGCCCAAGGCCCCATTTGCCCCAGGTGGCCAACGTGTCCCCCCACCCTGCAAGCTCACCCCCAAACCGACGTTACCGGCCCCCACCTGTGCGGCCTTAGATGGACCGATGCCAGGAGTGGGGTGTCCCCCTGGTCCCCTACACCTTCACCTCTCAGGTGTGCCCTCAGCAGCGTCCAGTGCAGACAAAAGCACAGAAGGGGCAGGAAGTGAAAACCAACTCCCAGAGAGAGGGGAAAAAAAATCAAGTCACTCCCCTCCACGCTGCATTGCGTAAGAGGAAGGGGAGGAGAGCGGGCTGATACCATCTCCAGCTCAGCTGGCAAGGGAGTGAAGGCTCACAGGGAGCACCCAGTGCAACCCTGTGTGTTTGAAAACCGCACACTCGCACAGGTGCAAGGGCACCCAGCACCTTGCCATGCTTCAGCCAGCCAAAAGCCCAGACCTGCTGTGCTGAAAGCCCATGTCCTCTGGTGGTAGCTCTCACAGCCCAGCATCACTGAGGGGTGGCACAGAGCCCAAGTTTCGCTGACCCAAATGAGTCAATCCCCAGCTCCGTCTCACAGCCTGCACCCACTGCCAGAGGTTTCCTGCTCAAAATCATTTGTTTCAATCTTTGGGGGCATAGTACTCCTCTTATATAGTTCAGTCACAGACAGGAACGCAAAGGCTGCTTGCCCTAACTGGGTTGCATTCCCTACCTTCCTGCTTCTGTAGAGTGGAGATCAAATTCCCTTGTTTCTCAGCTACATTGGTGCCACCCCCCTTCCTCTGCAAACAGTCCCAAAGGCCCTGGGTAAACTCTTCTTATCTCTGTGTCACAGAGCTTAGGAGTGCAGGGAGTGCTTGCAATTTGCCAGGACATTATTTTTAATGAAATATTGCATCACTTCAATGGCAGCAGCAAATGCAAGATGGTATTAATGGCAAACATTGGAACAGAGAAGGTGAGCCACGGCTGTGCCTTGAGCAGGATCTGGCTTTGAGTTCTGGGGAACTTGCTCACATCCAGAGTCTTCAATTCCTGCTGCCTGCTTCTGCCTGCAGCCCCTGTGGTGCTGGGGAAACAAACAATGCCAGGATTGTCTCCTTTTGTTCTTCACCGCCTGAGGCACTCAGCCCCCCCTCCTTTTTTTCAGTGTGTATGGAATGAGTAAGCCCCTTCATAAGGTGATTCAGCCTAAACTGATCTAGCCTGAAGGGGAGTGGAGTTTAATCTCCTTTGCTCCCATCAGAAGGCTGTACCAGTCTCCCATTGCAGGCTTTTCAGTGCTCACCCTAAAGGTTTTCAATGTTACTTTACATTATTATTATTATTATTATTATTATTATTATTATTATTATTATTTTGCATTGCTATCCTTTAATTTCAAAAGCTTATTTCCTATTTTCCTCAGTAAAATCATATCCTAACTCAGCCTTCATTATGCTAGTGCAAACCTGCCACTAGCTTTTAATCACTTCTTTTACGGCATTTCACCTCGGTTATCTTAGTTGCTTTTTTTTTCTGTGCATTTTCCAGATGCAGGGCCTTGTTGTTATTGTATAGTTATTAAGTTTGTTGCTTAATAAAACATACCATAGGCTAAAGAATGGATCACCAGGGATCTCTCTCTCTCTGCTGGAAACCCATTGCTAAATACATCTTAGGACCGTATGGGTATTGCTGACTGAATCACAGAATCACAGAATGCCAGGGATTGGAAAGGATCTCAAAAGATCATCTAGTCCAATCCCCCTGCTGGAGTGGGAACACCTAGATTAGGAAACACAGGAAGAGACACCTTATGAATTGTATGGCTTTTATGGATTGTTCTCTCTGTTATTTTCAGCTGAGCAGCCTCCAGCTAAAATTCTTGTGACAATTTCCTAAAAATGTGACTTTACTTTTAATATTCTTTATATTATTAAAACGTGAACCACTTCTGTTTGGCAGATGAACATGGCTTGTTCATTAGACTTTTAAGCATCACAAGCTTGGTCCTTCCCTGTAGGAGTGATGCATTCCACTTCAGTGCCAGCAGCATTACTGAATGTACCTGTTGTGGGGTTTTTTTTCGGTTGGTTTTCTCTTTTCTTTTTTCTTTTTTTTTAATTTCTGGAGAGCTTCAGTAATGACTGTTTTAAGTGAGGTCAGCCCCAGGACCAAGGACTTTTGCTGGAAACCTCTCTCCGTTGCAGCATCACTCCTTCCAACTCAGGACCTGCTCCCAGCCCAAAGCTCCTATCTCAGGCCTCATCTTCTGCCAAATGAATTATTCCCCGTGACTCCAGCTGAGCCGTGTGTTACTCATATTAGCGTGAAGAGAAAGCAGGCTGTGTGATTTTATGGCTTGGGAGTGTTTTAAAAGGGGTCGTGAAGCAGTGAGTCATGGTTACTGTTTGTCTTTCATGGGGCGAGAAGTGCCTGCTCTTAGCCCTGCAATAATAACTGTTCAGCTGGGGGGTTAAACTACACAGTGGCTTAATATTTGACCAGGATCATTGCAGCTCTTCGACATGCACAGCTTGCAGCAAATCACACAGGAGCCTGCGTCACCAGCCTTGATGTCACCACTGAGGGGACCCCAGCAGCTCTGGGCACCTGGCTGCTGTGAGGCATAGATCCAGGTAGGCACACAAACAAGGACTTGCTGGACTTCGCCCAGCCAAGTGGTACCGCGGCTTGCGGCGGCTTCCCGACAGCAGGCAGGCTGCTGCAGATGGCTCCACTCTGCTTGGCTTTATCTGGGAACCGCTCCGTGTGTACCTAGTGCTGGGGTGACAGGTTTGCTTGCTTGCTTGTTTTGTCATATTTGCCTCAGGTTAAACCTCCTGGTGTGGTTTGCGGGCGAGACCCGGATACAAGTGACGGCACAAAGATGTGTCAAGGGAAGGAGACAGGGAGGGATCTCACAGACCGTGACTAACAACCCGTCCTGCGGAATGCAACCAGGGAAAGGATGACAGGCTGCTGAGTCCCCAGCAGAGCCTTTCCCACCGCTTCAAGGGCAGCTGTGGGGAGGGCACCACAAAGAGAGTGTGCTGTTTTTTTGGGGAAGTTCCTGTCTGCGTCCTGTGCGGCACTCTGGCTCTCCTTTTACTGTTGCTAGTCACGGTAAGGTGTTAAGGGCAGGAGCGCTCGGAAAAGAAGGCGAAATTGTACTGAAACTAGCTACGCCAGAAAGCATCTGCATTCTTGCCATGTCTGTGCTAGGCTTTTACAGGGAGATAGGTATGGAAATGGCTCCTTTTGTGAAGCAAATTGCCTCCCGTGGGCAGGAAGTAGAAGTTTAACATCTTCCATTTAAGTCCCCAGAGGCATCCTCAGCTGTTCTTGTTGGGCTGTGCGGTTCTTTAGGACTCCTCCTCCTCCTTCCCCTCTTTCAGCAGCCACAGCCCCTGGATAGCCGCAGCCATCTGCCAGTGCCTCTGGAGATCGCTATCCCTCAGGTCCGGGGATGGAGATTTCCCGCAGGTCCCTAGCCCCTCTTCGAGGAGCTTGTGTCAGGACACACTTCTTGGTGCGAGAACTATACGGACAGCCTGAAATGCTGTAAGCAGGTTGGGAAGCAAGGAGAATTCCCTTCATCTTTCAGCCACTGCTTCTCTTGCCTCCAACTCTACTGTTCAAGAGCTTGCATGAAAACACCAATCACACTTTCAAAAGGGTACAGAAGGGTCTCCTTCTGTAGGGGAACAGCAGAGCAATATGAGAAGTAGAGCAACAAAACAACACGGATGGATTTTTCAGAAATCCCAATATAATCCATTTGGAATCAAACTGTCAGCTTCACCTAAGCGTTGAGGGGTGGGGGTCATTCCTATGCCTGCCCATGCCTGCAAGAGGGTGCAGCATGTCTTTACTTTGTGGTGTTAACCTCATGATGGTACAGTCACCTCTGCTGCCTTTCCTGGCTTAATTTGTGTTAACTACCATGTTTGTAACCACAGGGAAAGTGATTATTTTCAAAGGAGGTGAAGAGTGGCTCCTGGATGATGGGAAGGAAAAACGTCCTCTCTGGGCTGGGACTCGAGGGAAAGAGGCCAGTCTGCTCCTGCAGAAAGAGGAGCCGGGGCCTGCTGAATTATTTATGGTGCGTAACAGCCATCAGCTTGCAGAGAAGGAGAAGCACCATCTTCAGTCTCAGCTGTGGATGGAGGTCATCAGCTGCAAGAGGAATGTAACCGGAGCTCTCGTGCCCTGGTGTACGGCTGTTTGGCACAGCAGTACAAGCACTCAGCTCTCCCTGACACAGGCCCTTCCTCTGTAGAATTGAATCCCATTCTGCTCCTTTTGGAGGCAAAAATTCCCTCTTAGGGCAGGCGTGCAGGAAGTGGCTGTGCACCCATGGAGGACCTGCTCTGGCCTGCTTTGTATGGGACACCTGGTGCTGTGCACTGGAACTGGCACCACGCCTTCACAGGGTGTTTTCACACATCGTCTTTGAGCTTCTTCCTCTTATTTAATGATTGATTCAATTACCTTATTGCTGGAGCAGCCCTACTTAATCAGTAAGCATTTATTTCTGTATTTCCAGCTTCTCCTAACAAAGAGTTCATGAGTAAGCACGTATAATCCATAGTGGCATAACAAACATCCTGCAAGGCTGCTTGCTTTGGCTTGCAGCTATCCTGAAAGGCCTCTGGCATTCCCCTGTAGCTGACCCAGGCTGCACCAGGGCACCATGTTTATTGCTTTGTTGATAAAGTGCAAGCAACAGGGTGAGATTGCCTGTGGCCTTCTCACATGCCTTGTCTCAGCCTTAGTTTGCACTTGAGCGAGGTTACAAGTAACAGTGGCCCCAGCTGATTGCAGAGCAGGCATTAGGGCCCGGTGTTCCCCTCTTCTCCACATCCATCTCATGCTTCATAAATTTGGCTCAGTCCATTTAGAGTTGTGGGAGAGTAATAGGGTTGTTGCACAGAATTGGGGGAAGGGGGATAACTTTCTGCTGGAACCTTCAACTGCGGTAGATTTTGGGTTGACCACTTTCCTTGATCTCAGTGCCATTTCCTCAGAAAAATCTGTCAGCATTTGGGGCAGTAGGAATAAGGGGAAAATGTCAGTCTTTAAACACCAGGATAGAGCATTTCTGTATGTAGACAACTGATGCCTGGCAGAGCATGTCCTTTGGTTCAGATTTACTATGTGGTCAGCCAGCCTATTAACCTCTGAAAAGTCAGTAGTTGTAAACATGTCAGAAGATGTTTGAGGGGTTTTGGAATGTTAAAAATCTCTCCTCAGGGAGTATGATCCCAGCCTCTCTTGTTATGGATTTTTTCTGGGTGATTTTGGTTAAATAAGACAGCTTCCAGAGTGAAACTTGAGAGGGAATACAGTCAAGTAGTGAGGAAAAATGAGGAAAGCTTAGTAAATTAATTACCTGACAGCTCTCTCCTGAATACAAGCTTTAGGCTGTCTGCAAAGCAGGGAACAAGGATACCATTTTTAGGTGCACTTTATCCTTCCCTGTAATGCTGCTGAAGCATGCTTCAGAATCAGAATTTTGCAAAATTTTCTGTAAGAAAATCTTTGGGTTTTGTTCAAACTTAAATGGGAAAAAGAAGGGCTGGAGTGCTCCATTTTCTTATTGGCCCATGTAGGACTTGCTGTTGGCCAGTTGCCACTGTCCCTCTGGGCACAATTACCTGGTTGTGACAAGGGGACCTGGTATGACTTCCAGAGGATGCCAGCACTGGCATATCTTCTTTTCCCACACAGCCCATGGGACTGGAACTGCTGATGTGCTTTACAACAGAAGGTCTCAGTTCAGGTTCAGCCGTTTGACCGGGCAGCGCCTGCAGCAGGTCATAGGAGGGCTCTGGGGATGGGTGGATAAAGGGGTGTGACACAGCATCTGGGGGAAACTGGCAGCGCATAAACAGGTCCAGTCTGATTTCTGCCCTTCTGTACTGCAGTGCCCATGTCCCCTAACATAAGACAGGGCAATAATGTTGCAGAACTTTAACCCCTCTTCTATTAAGAAAGAGATTATAAACCAAACAATGGTAATAAACACTCCAGCAGTTTACAATGCTTCAGCAGATGGACCTATTTACCATCTATAATTACCTTTTTACAAGAAGGAGATAATGCATTATCCGTTAACCTGCAGTACTTTGTCACACTACATATAGCTTTTTTTTAGTAAGAACACAGATAATTTGTTTTATTGCTGAAATGCTTTGCTCAGACGACCTCAAATTCAGATCATCAGGTTTTCTAGACAGAAGTTTTACAGAAAGCTAGAAGAAATGTACAGAGTGCAGAAGAGTTTAAATGGGGAGTGCTGATTCTGAGTTTGGCTGGTAACACCACTGACCTAGCACTCCCATCCTTATAAAAGAGCGGATCAGCCCATTGGATTTGCACACACACGTCAGTTGCATCTGTAGGAAAAGTAATTCAAAACCTTCTCTTCCCCACCTCCTGCTGCTTCTTGGAGCTGATGTACGTTAAATATTAACAACCTTTGTTCATCGGTTCCCTGCTTCACTTTTTAACAGCAGATGTTATTACACCAAGCCATCTCCCTTCTCTTCCTGCTCATCAGCAGCATCCTGTGAAACCCAAGAGCCTGCTGTTGTAACCCTGCCTACAGCACCTGCCACTGCTCCCTGGCATTGCCAATGCTGCCTGCCTTCGACATCCACAAGTGGCTTGTGCTGTGAGCCAGGAGTTGCGGGGTGACACTGCTTACAAGACGGAGGAGAGCAGCCAGGAACAAGGAGGAGGAAGTGGTGAGGATGGCCAACAACTCCAGTGCATTGCCCCGGGTGACTTTCCAGACTCCAGAGAAACCTGGGGAAGAATCGTCACACAGAAAACTGGGCAAGCTAACCATAAAGTACAACCGCAAAGACCTGCAGCGTTGGCTAGACCTGGAGGAGTGGATCAATGCCCAGCTGCAGGAGCTGTATCAGTACCCGGTGAGTAGCTGGGGCAAACCAGCTCCTCGCTCATTGAGGGAATGAGATGAGAGGCTGTATGCAGGGATAGAGGTGTGCTTGCTTAGCTTACTGGAAATAGATCCTTGCTATCAGTTTTGCTGCTGGCAGTACCTGAACTAGCTGGGTTTGAGGTACTCAGTGCATCCTTCAACCCTTTGGCCATAACTTTGTGACTTTATCCTGAGGCACTGAGGATAAAACACTATCTGCAGCTGCTGATGCTAGACATGCTACTGGCAGCAGGGGAAGAAAAACAAAACACGTGCTCAAATTACACAACTCCCCAGAGCAGCCTTCCTGGCCTGCATTTTTGTTACCACCAGCAGCTGTCGGTCCTACATCATTCTTATGCACCTAAGAGTTGGGAGCATAACCAGGAGTCTTGGGAGCAACGAGGTCCAGTGCCTCAATGGTGTAGGATAAGTGATGTTTCTGGAAGCACTTCTCAGAGTGGGAGCTGGCCTGAGATGGATATACATTTTGACAGACCAGTGTATATGCTGAGCCCCTTTGGAGGCAGGTTAGACCTTGCATTCCTTGGAAATTTAGGTATGTAGCCATCTCGGGCTGCACCTGTCTAGCAACATGCTCCCTCCGGCCTTCTTGCGTCAGAAATGTCTGCTTTCACCATGGAGGTTTATGTAGCTTTAAAAGGACTAGAGCCATTTCCTCTATTTCATCCTGTCACTCAATATGATGCTAACTCTGCTTTTATTTTATTTGGTTTCACTGGAATCTCTCCATTTAACACCATTGTAAAGTTAAATGCAAGCACCTCAAGGCTGCTATGAGGGAACCTGCAGGTTTCATCTATCCAAGTTCCCCAAGGGGAAGTGGTTCTAGCCACCGCAAAATGCCACTGTGCTCTGAGTAGAAACAAATGTTCCTGATAAATAATGTCTGAGGGAGAAGATAGGAGACAATCTCATTTCCATCTTAAAATATGTATACATTTATTTTGTCTGCATTTATGAAACGAACACAAAGAGAGAATTTAGAGTCCTACTGATGCTCACAACTTGAAGGACCAAACAAAAGGGACATGGTAGTTCTGAAGAGATGAGCAAAGAGAGTGGCTGCTGCTTTGAGCAACAGGACCTTTGGGTAATGACTGTAATTTTAAAATATTAGTTCAGAGAGGGCTTTTTTGAGACAGATGTGAGGCATTTCTTGGTATCACCAGTAACATAATGCAAGATGTGACTCTGTGTATTACTTTCACTTGTCTAAGTCTACAGATATACATCTGTAGAGATGTCAGAAGAACAACTCAGGCTACTTTATTACTTCTGTTTTTCTGTGAGTTGACTAACTGGGAGTTGTTTGTTGTTACCAGAGTAGCTCCACAGAGTAGATATTTCTTTTTTTCCAGTAGGCACAAGTGGGAAATGCAGCCATGCCCACATGGGAATTGATTGCAAATAGATTGCCTTTGCTAGCACCGCTCCAGCACAACAGTTTTAGCAACTTCCTGGTGTGCCAGGTCAAACTAAGACATTCCTGACAGGAACTACATAATGCAATGCTGATCCAAATCAGAGATTGTTAATAGCATACAATAGAAGTTTACATAGTACCTTTTCAAATAAACAATGAATGACTTGTAAGCACCCAGAAGTCCAGCAGGTACTCCTGCCCTGCTCCATGCACTGCAGCAAGATGGTTTAGTTAGCTGTGGTAGCTTGGGCTTCTTTGGATCCATTGACTTCCATTACATCAGCTCCCCATCATTTCCCCCTTTGCTCCTCCTGCCCTTGGCAGTGCAGTGTTTCTCCATGTCTTCCAGAAACGCACATGACAGCTGGAGTAAATGGCACTGCAGGGTCAACTGCCAGCAAGATTAAATCCAACATCATCTCCTGATACAAATAATCTGATTGCTATGCTGTTTACTGCCATGAAGCTTTTCACAACAAAACTAAGATCTGGGAGACAATTTGGGTTTTCAAGACCTTTCCCTGCACTTGGAAGAAGAACCACAGTCTCAGCTTAGACCAGATCAACACCTGTTATCTAAATAGTCATGTGAAAACTATTATTTTTATGAAGAAATGCTGTATAGGTCACAGTACAGTATGTGTAACTGTTTTATTCTTAGTTATCAAGTCAGGTGTGTAACAAAGCTGAGCTCCTACTGTTTTTCTGCTTCCTCTCTGGCATGGTGTCAAAGACTGATGGGAAACAGTTTCTTTTTTTTCCCCATAAGTACTGTGTTTATTGTTTAATGTTTTACGTGCCTGTCTATTAGGTGCTGCGCTTACTCTACTGAGTACTGTGATAAAGTATCACTAGTGTCATGTTGTTAAAGGTTCATTTTGCAACTACATTGCAAAATGCAGCCTGCATTACAGTCTTGTAGGGGAATGTGGAGCTAAAATGTGCCTATGGCCAAGTTTACAAGTGTTCCCAAATAACATTCACTTGTACTGAGACTGTAACTCCTACCTCCAAAACTTGTGGGTCTCTCTTACATTAAAACTATATTCTATCCTCCCATTCCTAATAGAGAAAGCTGACAAATAGTAAGTTACACCTTTCAAAAGCATAGCTGTTTGCTTCTTCATTTCTGCAAAAATCCATAGTATAAATACCAACTATGTGAATGTATGCAGCCATAAAGCTTAAAATCTGCCTGTATTTGTAGTACCTCTTTAAGATTAAACCTGACGGACTTCTGTTTGATGAACAATTTGCACGCACTCTTTTCAGAATTAGGTTGTCCCAAGCTGGATTACACTGCATTGTAGTTAGCAATTGACATTGGATATTCTTGAAAAGGTGTTCCCATCACAGACCGTGATCCCTGAGCAGGGATCAAGTGTTGAGGTGGGAGCGGATGATGAATCAAGATGTGTTGCTGTAGCAGACACCACAGAGGTAAGACACCTCTTGGTAAGAACCTCCTTGCTTTGAGATGATTGGTGTCTTGACGTCAGCTTTGCAGCATGGTTCTCTTGTAATTAGTTCCTTTTCAGATGCTCACTTCTTCAAAGATGGTCTCTAGAGTTCTTAAAAGTTTGAGGGTTATGAACTATGCTGGTTTTTATTTTCTTCTTTTTAGCTAAGAGAGAAAACGGATGCAGAAGTTCCTGGACCAGTAATTGACCTTGAAGATCTCCTGGAAGTCCCCAATGAAGAACAGAAATTGAAACTACAGGTCAGACAGAGGAACTTGGTAACTTCAATATAGGAACTGCTGGTGTAATACAGTACAGCAATGTGTTTGGGTTGCAGAAAATGTACATACTATAATGTATGCTGCTTCCCTGTGTCTTGAAGCCAGTCAAGAATAGTAAGATTATATATCCTTTTTACAGCTGGAGGGAAGGGTCAACTTATGAAATATTAAAATGATGTCTCTCTGGCTTTCAGGAAATCCTCCATGAGTGCTCCAGTCCAACAGAGGTGAGTCAAGCACCACTGACACACATATATTATGCTGTGCTCTGAGTGCATGTTTGTTTATACAGACTATTGTTGGGCAGTGACTTCTTAGGTCAGTTTTACACACACTTTTTTCCCCCCCTCCGAACTTTACATGTCTTGATTTTGAGTTAGGGAGTTAAGGAAGCATCACTGTCACGGTATTCAAACAAACAGAGCCCAGTGTTCTGCTGTGTGGCACACACATCAGACAGCAATTGACTTCCCCACACTCTGCAGTGTGCAGCAGAGTCCCCCGTCCCTGATTCAGTCACATGCACTGCATGTGAACATTATGCTCGGATGTTTTTCATCAATCTAAATGCCTTATCCAGCCTTTCAATTTAGCTGTACAATGACAAACAGCAAGTGAGACAGATGCCTTTACAGTGCTGTCTTTACAGTGCTGTTACTTGCCCCGGAGAAGGCAAAGTTTGCACTAATCACAGAGAGTCACAGAATCATTAAGGTTGGAAGAGACTCTAAGATCATCTAGTCCAACCAATGATCCATTATAGCACTAATAATTACAAATAAACAAATCAAGAGCCAGACAATAAAAAAGAATTTGCAGCGTGAGAAACTCCTGGTTTCTGTGAACCAAGAGTGTTTATTTTTAGTATAACGTTAAATAAAATAATTTAATGTTGTTTACAGTCTTTTAATTACTGGAGTGGAAGGCATAACCTGAACATCAAGCAGTCAAAATAGTTGCTTAAATTTCTGTTTGGAATAACCAGATGACCCAGTTTGGTCCGTAGTGCTTGGCTGTGTCAGCAGTGGGGTTTATGTCCATTAACTGCTCAACTACCTGGCCTGCCAGTCCTCAACCCCTACTCCAGGTTATCATTAATCTTATGTGTGTCCTGCTCCACCCCCTTCTCTGCCAGCCACTTCCGTGTAGAACTGGCATTGATCCACTGAGATTTGCAGTCCCCAGCTTTACAGGTTCAGCAAGGAAGCAACGAGAGGGACAGAATGCTTTGCCCTACATTGGGAGGGCAGCAGAAGTGGGCAGGAGGTTATGGTGGCAACAGGAAGCAGGGGAACCTGAGACAACAGCATCTTGAGGTCATCTCAAGGTGGAACAAGCAGGCATTGGGAAGAAGGCAGGCTAGCTGCTGCAGAAAAAAAAGCAAACATGGCTGTTCCAGAGGGAGCCAGGGAAGGAAAGAAGAAGGGCTTTTAAATCCCATTCAGCCATCAGAAGGTCTCATTTCCTAAGCTAGAAGATACATTTGCTTAACATATGTCAAAATCCTGGTTTCTGCTCCTGAAGAGAAACATGTGAATAATGTAAAAGGCATAGTACTCTTTGGGCCAGTGAGAAACGGAATTAACATCCTTCTTCCTACAATTCTTACTGTAGGACTTCATTACGGAATTGCTCAGTCGATTGAAAGGTCTCCGGAGAATCACCAATCCTCAGAAGAGGTTACCTCACCCATAAGGGACATCTAGCTTTGGTCACAAGGAAAAATGCATCTTTCCCATAAAAAAAACAGATCAGCAAGATCACTTCAGAATACATTTAGGATTTACTGTTATTAAGGAACTTCACTGAGTTCGTGAAATTTGTACCAGTGGCTTCAAGTCTCCACTCCTTCCAGATCTACGTGCACAGCAGGAGGCTAAGCTGTATGTTTTCCTGATTCTCAAAGGGCATTTTAACCTGGAGAATGGGGCAAGATGTCCTTCCTTTCGTTTCTTCTAGGAATTTCCAAGCTGGCTTGGGAGCAACGAATACAGTTCTCAGAAGCACATAAAAACTTCCTTCTTTCCTTCCACTGCAAGGAAAACAAGGAACTGGTTATCACTCCTTCATCAACATGGAAAGTTGGTTTCTGTGAAGCTGCACCCTGTTTCAAGTCTGGCTGGGACCCAACTGCGATCTTTTGCCTGTTACTGCCATACCTGTCTCTACAGCATTGCTCATACTTTATAGATCTTATTAAGCCTCTGTTAGCCATGAAGGTTCAACAGAAAATATACAGTAGGACCAAAGGAAAACATCCAAATGCATCTGGTCAGTACTTAAGGGGAAGCTGACAAAAGACTAAGGCTAGTGGAAGAGAGATGTTTTTCCTCTTCGCAGAATTTAGAACTTGATGATCTAGAAGCATCTTCTACAGGAGCGAGGCCTGGGAATGATTTTTCTCACCATTTAAAAAGACATTGTAAAATACTTATTTTGTATATTAAAACAGAAAATCAGCCATGTGCTGCCTCAAAATTGCTCTCTTTTTATACACTACAGAAAACTGAAGACATACCTGCTCCTAAGCAGCAAGTCCTTCACAGACAGATAGGTCTCACAAATTAGAAATAGAGTAGGACACAGCCTTGCTGCACAAACTCTTCAGGCTATAACTAATGTGTGGCTGGAAAAATACAGAGGAAACTACATCCAGGCTCTCAGCAAGTGGGTAACTTGACACGTGTTGCAGGAAACTAAGACATCAAATGGAGGATGACTACTTACGCAGAGCAGTCTCTCACATTATGTCCCTATGCTGCCACCCAAACACCAGAGATGAGTTGGTGAGTTGCATCTGAAAGGACTTCTATGTACCACCACGTACTCAGGGGTGAATGCCTTCATGTTTGGCTTGATATGAGGCCAACAGGACATGCTTGCCCTCCCGAAGTCTCCAGTTTGTAAGAAAAATAACAAAAACATACAGTGCAGGTTTGCACCTGCTGTAAGTCTGGCAGTGCTCGTAGATTCACACCTGCTGACACTGATGAATCACAGCTCTCAAGAACGGAGAGCAGCTTAGTGCCAAAGAGCTCTGAGCACCATTACCATCACAGACTAGATTCAAACAGAAGTTCAGGTGGAAGACCCTGGTGGACAGGCTCCTGAGCTGTGTCCTCACTATAGCTGTCATTTGCTGCAGTGTAAGTTCACAGATGTCCAGATTAGTTACATATTCCATAAAGCAGCTTTTATTCTTCTGAGCTGTGACAGCACAAAGACCTATAGGGCCATTTCTCCAACACAAGAGACAGATTTTTCTCCATGCAGGGAATTAATTCTGTACCCACTCAATTTGGAGTGATGAAAAATTTTTTGCTGTACTTTAAAGGTGTAGAATCGAGGGGAAAAAAAAGCTTTTGGAACTCTGCTTGAGAGAAGTTGTCTTTGTGTGTTCTCTTCCAACAGCAGAAAAATGAGCAAGCTGTAGCCCCTGTGATATGCAGTTTTTCCACTATATCAGAACATTACTATAGTAGAAGAGTGCACTTCAGGCGAGCACAAAGATGCAACAGTACAAAGCAAGATGATGTGGCCACTGTTAGTTGACTTCTCATCTCTGGCACAAAAGAAAACAACGTAAGGCAGAACAACTTTTGGATTAGTTCTTGAAAGGAAGAAGTCAAACTTGATTTTATTTACTTATGGCTGCTCTCAGCTGAGCATTTAAGGACAGACCGAAGTACATTTTGTTTACAGTTTCCAGTCAACTGCTGTTTCTCAGTACCATCACACTACTAGCATAAGATTTCTATATTTGATTTGCAGATAGCATGGTAAGAACATTTCTTTAAGGTGACATTTGCCTCTTGATTATACCAAGATAACTCAGAACATGTGAAATTTCATGCCTTTTTCTAATTAAAATTTCATGAAGGTGCATAAAATAACCTTCAAATCATTTTCCGTTTATTATGAGCTACATTCCCCTTAAACATATCCAGGAGGCTATATTTGGATCACTTGTTACAGCAGTTAAGGCAAAGCACATCTGCATGAACTGCAGCAATAGCAAATTAATGCAGTTTATCTGAGGCCTCTCTGTGAACCAATCTGATTTCAGATTCATTTGTTAGTATTAGTTCGAATTCTTGCTGGGGAGGAAACTACTTTCGATATTTCATGTACAAAACATATTGAGAGGAAAAGAAAATCATCTTATATCCTTATGGCACACGACAAAGAAGGAAACAAACAGATTCCTTCTTGTAGATCCCAAACTCTCTTCAGTTCTTGAATGGCTATCACTGAGGTTGATCCTCCCAGTGAGGAACTCACGGCTTACCAATACCTTTACTGCTTTACCAGCACCTTTTCAAAGCCAAGGTCAGTGTGTGCAACACAGCTAAGTGTGCACTGGCCAGCTAAATGTCACACAATACTCTTTCCAAATGAGATTGTTAAATGTGCTTCTGCAGACAGCTGATTGAGATTGTTCTCATGATCCTTTTGCATGGAGGCATGAGCTACAGTGGAGATGGCTTTACAAGGAGAAAGTGATTGGCCAGCCACTAAAATGGCCAATTACATGCAGAAAGCTCAGCAGCCACAAAAATGTCCGTTAGTGACTGGGCAGTGAAAAAGTCAGTATGTGTGAATGACTGAAGAGTCTTCCATGACTAAGTTCTATTTCAGGTATTGGGCTGGTTGCTTTTCTGGATTCCTTGGGATGAACCCACAGAAGCCAATCCAGGAAACTAAATAAGCTGCTTCAGGCTGTTAGCTGTTGCTTTACTATTGATGAACACAGGGCAGATCTCACTGGACTCATGCTACCTAACAGCACAAGGAGCTCAAACTTGTGTTGTGATGGATCAAACATTTAAACTGCTTCAAGTAAATCACCAACTCATAGATAAAAAGGAGGTAAAAAAAAAAAAAAAAAAAACACCTGTAAAACAAGAATTAATTTGCCTATTATCTGTATGGAAAGAACCTTGGGAAGGCTGAAACCCAAAGGAGTGGATCAGTTTTAGAGAGAAGATGGCTGTTTACATCTTCTGTACATGCAAAACACAAAGGATTTAACCTGAGACAGAATTTTCAGTGGGCTGTCTTGCTGTCAGACCAACTATCCTGGTCAAATAACAACGAAGAAAGCACCACTCCCACAATGACATGAAGCCAGAACTGCCAGAAAAATAAAGTCTTAAAAATGAAGACTTCAAACTCCTCATGTCAGTAACTATCTACTTAGATCTTGTGTAACACAGGATTCACTGTGAGCTCTTGCATCAGAACAATGCAGTAGTTTTCCCTCCTGTCTGTTCTAATGTTAAGGCACTTGTGAAGGAGGTCTTTCCTCTCACAGACTGGCTTCAGTGGACTGGGTTTCACCATGCCTTCCTAACAATGAGTTTAGCCAGCACTGTCAGATATACTAGCAATTTCTTGCTGTGTCAACCAGAAATATTACCACACCGTGTTGTCTGATACAGATTACTACTGAAACTCCTGATCCAGTCCAGCAAGTTTGCACAAATCCACCTCTGGATGCAGTTTAAGGTATTTACTGAGCTTTGGCTGACTGACTGGAGGTGGCTGAAGTGCATGCAAACAGTTTTGCCAGCTCACCTACACAGGCAGTGACCTTCAGCACAGGGGCAAAGCAGACAGCTGGGAGCGGCAGCGTCAAACCAGACAAGCAAGATCAATTGGAAGCTCTCTGTCAAAACCAAATCATAAGGTTTTTCTGTTTGGACACTCCTGGAATTTGTCAACCTTAGACAGCTGTCTAAAGTCACACTACACTCCTGGAAGAGCTCACCCTGATGGGATATTAGAGCTGATTTCAGAAAAGTTTAATCATGTATTTCAAACAATTCTGGGTGTTAGAGCCACTGGCACGTGTTGCATGCATCTGGACTGTCACTGGGTAGTATACAAGCACAGTAAACTGAGATTCTCTCATAGCCAGGTAAGAAATCATCACACATCCAGCATTTTTATCCTACCAGGGGAACAAGTAATAAACAGACTCAATTCTCACTTTCATAGTAACACACATCTCTTCCAGATTAACATGCTGCTCCCATAGACTACATGCAACTTATGTGCAGACACTGCTGGTCAGAACACAGTGCATCTGTAGCAAATTATCTTTAAGAAGTACTTTTCATTTCAAACATATAAGCGACACTGCTCATCACTGGAGCATGACACCCTTGCACCAGCCCAGCAACACCACAGAAGTGTTTTTTCATGATTTCATTTTCCTGATCCACCTGGCAGTACAACTGAGATACCATTACAGGAGGGTGACACTTTATAAAGGGCTATTATGAGGCATTTCCAAAAGAGATTTCAACCAGTCTGCTGTAAATAGTTTTATTACATTTTGAAAGTTCTCATCACACATGTGACCATGACATAGACAATTTCTTAGTGCAAAGTACTCTGCTGACTTGTGAACCAACATGTAAGCTGTTAGCAAAAGCACATTACTTAACAACCAGCCAACACTGCCTTAAGCATACATCCTCACTGTTATTCACGATTCCTTACTGTCTATATTTATAGACTCAGAGCCACCACCTCACATCAAATCCTCATTTATCCCAAGCACTGGTGGCAAGCCCAGCACTTCTCTAGTTGTGTTTCTGAGGGCCAAGGCACATGCCCTCTAAGCCCCTTTCAGTTAACAGCACATCGTTTTACTGTCCAAAACATCACCCATTTTGGCTGCAAATCCATTTGGATAGCAGGAGAAGAGGGAGGGGGCCAGATGCGAGGAGTCCATCTCCTTTTCTGCCAACGAAGACTGTGATCACCACTACTTGCAAGGAAGATGATACCGAGAGGTGTGGTGGTCCTTCATGTCGAACTCATCATGGCCTTCCCTGAGAAGCAAATACAAACTGCAGTCAAGAGTAAATATGCAGGCAGGAAACTCACCCTAAGCCAGTGCCCAAGTGCAGTCTCTAAAAGAAACCTATTCCAAGGGCTGATTGATAAGACTACACCAGCAAACATGTGGACTGGTTACTCAAGAGATTTGTTTGTAACAGAAACCTGTGATGCACTTTATGAAAAGCTCTGTTCA